TCCCAGGCTGCTCCAAGCCTGTCCAGCCTGGCCTTGGGCACTGCCAGGGATCCAGGGGCAGCCACAGCTGCTCTGGGCACCCTGATGGACCAGGTGAGCTCAGGCTCAGTGTCCAGTGCCCCCTGGGCATTGCAGTGTCCAGTGCCCCCTGGCCATTGCAGTGTCCAGTGCCCTCTGGGTGTTTCCACCCTGCCCAGTGTCTGGGAGGAAAGGGCTGAGTGTGTTTTAGCCTCTGGCAGCAGTGGAGGCTGCCCAGGGGATGTGTCAGAGTCACCAGTGAGAGGAAATGGCTGGAGCTGTCGTGCTCTCCTGGTGACAGGCTCAGGTTTTACCCCTTTGCCATTGAAGGGATGAGTTTGATTTGAAGTGGGAGGAGAGAGGGGGTGTTGGATGAACACATCCCAAGGTGCTGGCAGCATTTGAAGGCCCGTTAAATGGAAATCTCTGCTGTTCCCTGGGTGCTCCATTCCATTTTCCACCTGCTGGAAAACAGGCAGGTTAGCCAGCGTGCCTTTCAATTGCTGGAGTTCCTGTTGGGATCTATTGGATTTCCTGTAATCTTTAATTATAAAGTGTAATGACTTCGGGATGGATTATCAACGTTGGTGTCCATCTGTGGGAGTTGCTTGGTAACGTCCCTGGAGCTGCAGCTCCTCCTGCTCTGCACTTGCAGGTTTTTAAAGGCTCTGGGTATCCGTGTCTGCCTAAATGGAACATCTCCATCCACTGGAGAGAGCACACAGCCTTTTTGTTATCATTTTGCTGTTACATAAAAGCATTACCAGGGACACAGGCCCAGAGAAGCAACCTGAGAAGTTGCTCAGCTCTCTATTAAAGGTTTTCAAATGAATTCCAGCCTTTTTATAGCATTCTGCCCTGCTGTTTGCCTGGATATTTATATCTCCATGTGATAATACTAAAGACAGCAACACAAAATAAACATGATGCTGTTTCATTAGCTTTTCTGCAGATCCTGAATTATACAGGTTTATGCAAGTCTGATAAGGGAAAAATGCATCCATTATTCTAAACAGAAATGAGTTCTCCCAATGTGTTGGGGCAGACTTCTTCCTGCAAGACTGACAGTTCCTCTTTTTCTTTCTTTCTTCTCATCTGGCAAATGATGTTTTATACAGCAGAGGAAAATAAATGGCATTATTGCAGCTTAAAGACCCAAAGTGGCACAGAGCTACTGTGGGGCAAGGAGGTTAAATGTGGGGAAGAACTGATCCTACTTTGCAAACTGACAGCACAAATAATCTGCTTCCAGCTGCAGGAAAAGGAAGAGAGCTGGGGAAAAAACAAGTTAGGAATACAATGGGAAAAGAAACGTTAAAATTACACTCACCCTCCCTTGCCCTCCTCTTTTTTTTTCTTTTAACCCAAACTGGAAAATTCTTTGATATTTTATTGTGAAATATTTGAAGGGAAGTTGAAGGAAGGAGGCTAAAGAGCCACGGAAGTGGTTATCTTGTGAAGATAATGTTCCTTGGAAGTGCTTGAAAGGGGATGATTGGTTGGTATATTTAGATTTCATCTTTTAAGCATTTACTAATTATCCCAGTCTAGATGGATAAAACTAATCAAATAGCTGTTTGGGAACGCTCTGCCTTTGGAAATCTTCCCTGTTAACAAAAGGAGGGAAAGTGATGGTGCGGGGAGCTTTTTCTTCTCTTTTCCCCTCTCATCTCTCCTTTTTGCAAGCCCACAAAGCCAGAGATTTGGAGTGGTTTAGTTATTAAATGTGCTAAAGATTTGCGCATCTCTTCAAAGTGAAAACACTTGCTTGGTCAAGTTTTTATCCCAAGACCTGTTTCCTCATTACCTAGATCACAGCATCCTCTAAATGCTTTTTGTTCTGCTGCTGCCTCTGTGAAACACAGGTGGGCTTGAAAGCCAGGTCCTTTTTGGGTTTGGATGGAGCAAAGCACAGGAAAAGATAGGGATCTAAATGGTGAGAATGATAGTGCAGGTTTTCAGAGTTCAGTTCTGTCATTTCTAGCTGATTTTAATACAGACTTGTCTGGCTGGGCAGCTGAAACTCCCCAAAGTAACAAGTGACTTACAGGTGAAAGGAAAGAAAGAGCAATGTGGCAAATGAAGTTATAAATTTGGAAGTCTCTGCTATAAATCAGCTGAGACCCAGAGTGCTTAGAATACCAGGCCCAAATAGATAATTGTCTTTTAGGTGGCAGATGGCTCACTGGTGAGAACAAAATGTGAAATTATGGATCTATTTCCATAATTTTTGTGGTCCCGGTGCCATTTTTCAAGTGCAAAATGGCACAGTGTTAACACTGATGTATTGTGATGTGACAGGGCTGGAATCCATAAAATATTCACTTCATCAGAAATGAGCCTGGATCACCTCAGCACACACATTCCCCTCCCTCCTGCACCTCCATCCCTTCCCTTGCAGCCTGGAATTTGGAATCTCTGCTCGGAGGAAGCTGCTGGGAATGTGAAGCCCCCACTTGCAGGACCTTGCTGCATCCCTTCAGTGCTTTGGAAGCTGAGGTGCTAAATTTGGCCTGGAGAGGCAGCTGCAGGGAGCCAGAACGGGCAGAGTGGTGCAGATGCTTTTTTGGCTCTTCAACTTTTCCAGTTGCTGCTTTTTGGAGCCGTCAGTGGAGAGAGGCAAGCTCTGGGATGCTGGGAGCTGAAAAGCTGCCACGTTCTGCATGCTGTCTCCCAAATGTGCAGGGTTTGAAGGCAGCCAGCAGAGTGTGGGAGCCTGGCAGCTCGGTGAGGCAGCACTGCCATCCCCTGATGATCAGCTCAGGGCTGAACAGAGGTTGGGACAGGAATCTTGTGCTTGGTGTGACAAAGGCAGCTGAAATGGCTGCAGAGGCAGATGAGGGATGCACGTGTTGGCTCCATCAGAGCACTTTGGGGGGTCTCAGGCTGTCCCTCCTTGATGAGGAGACAGGAGAAGAGGAGATTTTGCCTGTGGGAGGCTGAAGGGAAGCCCAGGTGGTTTTCCATGCCCTCCCTGGGATGGGGTGTCTGTAGACTCTGGGTCCCAGGGAGCTGTGCCAAGCTGGGTTCACCCTGCACCTTCTGCAGTGGAGGGGTTAAAGAAGTCGAGGGAAGGAAATAACTTAAAATTTCATACTCAGCTTAAAATGAGGCTGACTCAGAATTACAGCGCTAGGAGTTTTAGAGAACAAAACAGGATCATTTCCACATCCTCTGCGTGCCCAGGCTCCCTGGGTGCCAGGAGGGTCCCCCTTCCTCAGCTCTGATTGAGGGGAGCCCGGGAGGTGCCTGGCTGTGTCCTGGTGCTGCAGCAGCCCTGCTGCTCGCTGTGGGAATGCTGCCTTGACAAACACCATCCTTCCTGCTGCCAGCCTCAGGAGCAAGCTCTGACACCCCAAAACTGCTCTGCAGTGCCCAGAGAGAGGCCAGAGCTCCTCACAGATTCACCCTTTGTGTCCAGAGAATGAGAACTTCCCATTTAGAACCTGCTGCCACTGGGAAAAATAAAAAAAAAACCAAAAAGAGATTTGGAAAAAATAAAGTGAACACCTCGAGTCATGGGCCTGGGGCATGTTTGAGTGCGTTTTTTGGAGGGGTTCTTCTCTCTCCCCTGGGTCATTATTTAGTTTCCTCAGCAGAGCTCTCCACTGACTAATTCTTCCCACACTGAGTTTTCAAACCCCAAATTGGCTTTGTTTGTCCAGCATTCCATCTCCTGGTGGCGTTGGAGCCTGAGTGTTAACAATCAGTTCAGCAAATGTTTATCCTGCTCCATCTGAACAGCTCCAGGAAACTTTACTTTGGAAGCTCAGTGTTTAAAAAAGGAGGGGGAATCTGGGGATGTGGCTTTTTGCTAATTAAGGAGGATACTGCCAGGGGCTTGTGATGTTTGGTTTGTGAAACACACAGCTGGAGGGAAGAGTGAGAGCTGAGATGACAGGAGGAATTTCAGAGCAAAGGAACCTGCCGGGTCTGATGCTGAAACAGAGCGGCCAGTGCTGCTGCAGACACGAGACAGGAGCGCTCTGTGGAGGAAGGATCTCGTTTAAACTGTCATTTTCCCTCAAAAGTCTGGTCTGAGGAAAGCGTTTCAGACTTCTCTTATCTTTGTTGGAGAACATGGTTGATTCTCTGAAGCCCCTTCTTCCCCTTTGTTATCTTTTTTGCCAGGGATTGACTCAAAGGATGTTCAGGTCAGTGCCGTGCTGGGGCTGGAACTGCTGAGCCAGGCTGGAGGGGTGGAAAATGCAGCTTTATTTAAGGCACTCCTCGGAAGCTGGCAAGTCCCAGTCTCTCCCTGGTGAAGAAAGGACATTTGCATGTTTAATTTTTCCTCCTAGAGGGGCAGGAGGACAGAAAAAGCTGTGCTGGGATGTGTGTGTGTGTTGGAACTTGCACAAGCACTGCACAGCCCACAGGGGAAGGTCAGGGTGCTGGGCCCAGGCAGGACAGCTCAAACATCCCAAAAGGAATAGTTTGAGTTGGAAAGGGCTGCTCAGAAATCACCCAGAGCTCTCTGAAGAAAGCACTGTGGAGTTTTGATAGAAGATAACAAAATGTCATGGATTTGGTCTTTGTGAATATATTCTGACAATTAACAGGATGAAAACCTCTGTGCAGTCCCTAAGATCAGTTTGTCCCTGGACTTAGGGACAGATCAGCTTTGCCCTTACATTCTCAGCCCATTTTAACAACCATTCTGAAATACTGCTGCTCTCTGAAAAAGGTTGGCAATCCAGGGATGGAGACGGCTTCTTACAGATCCCACGTGGTCTGCAGGGCCAAGGTGCAGTGTGGGGTTTTGGTGGGAGATGTGCCAGGTTCTCCACCAGAAACGATGAGCTGGAGACCTACCCAAGCTCTGGATGCAGCCCCACTCCTCGTGTTCAGTGGGAACGAACATTTTATAATTAACAGGCCATGGGTTTAGCAGCGAGTGGGAAACTGCCGTGGATTCCCAGAGCTCAGGTGTGGAAATTCTCACTCCTGCTGACTGTTTTCATTGCCTTCCCCCCCCCCAGATGATGAAGTTTGCCTGGGATAACTACAAGCAGTACGCCCTGGGGAAGAACGAGCTGCGCCCGCTGACCAAGAACGGCCACATCGGGAACATGTTCGGTGAGTGGGGCTCAGCCTGCTGCAGTTTCCCTTCTGCTGAGGCTCGGGGGCAGTGCCCAGGGCAGCTCCTCTCTCTGCAGGGCAGGGAGGTGCCTGTCACAGCTTTGATCTGGCTGCTGGGGAGATGCAAGGCTTTGAATCCGTGTGCTGTGCGTGTCCCAGGGCTGGGAGCCTCCTCCCTCCAGGCACCTCTCTGTGCAGAGCCAGCACCAAACGTGCTTGGGAGCAGTGCTCAAATGAAAGTGTCTTTATTAAAACATGAAGCCAGCCCAGAGCTGACAATGCTGCTATTTGTCTGAGCTTGTAGGCTTCAGGACCTGACCAAATTGAGCATTTTCTCTCTCGTTTCTCCACTGTTGAGCAAGATGTGAATTCCATGAAATATTGAGTGAATCAATATTAAAAGCTCTTTATACCCTGTGCTAACTGGCTTGTACAATTTTACTCTTTAGCAGATTACCTTTATTTATGTGAGCCACTCTCAGTGCTGTTCTCCTGCTCATTCTGGTGGGATACTTGTTGTGGGTTAGGGGTATTTGTTGGCTTCTGGGGTTATAAGTTGTCTTTTTGCTGCTCTGCACTTGGAGCATTTCCCTGCTCTGCTCCCTGAGCCCCTGCCTGTACCATGAGGAGCCCTTCCTTTCCCTTCCCATCCCTGGGAATTCCTGCTGTGCAGGGGCTCCAGGCTCCTTTCCAAGGGATGTGTGTGCAGAGATTGTCTCCTGGAGCTCTCCGCCGGATCGGGGCAGAGAAGAGTTCCTCCGTGGGCAGGTCACCCCTGAGCTGATTTCCTCAGTGCAGAGGGTGGGACTGAGGGTTTGGAGAGCACTCCCATCCTGTTTTGCACTCTGTAGGTGTCCAGCTCCTTCTCCACATCAGCTGCAGGACCTAGGGGAGAGCTTTCAGCCTGTGCAGATCTGCTTTGTGTGGACCCCAGCCCTAATCCTGCTCAGCTTTGGGGGCTGACATGTGGGGAAGGGAAGTGTGAAGGTGGAAAAATGGCATCAGGCGTCTCTGACACCATCAGCCTGGAGAAGAGAGGGTTTGGGGTGAGCTAATTAAGGCCTTCCAGGAGCTGAAGGGAGGACAAGAAAGATGAAGAGACCATTTGTGAGGGTCTGGAGTGACAGGAGTGGCTTCAAAGTGTCAGAGGGCTGGCTTAGATGGGATATTTGGGACAGGTTCTTTGCTGTGGGGGTGCTGAGGCCACATCTGACTCAGCTGCCTGTGCAGGGCTGGGCTGCAAGGAGGCCCCAGTAACCCATGTGGAGGGTCAGGGAAGGAGGTTTGGGGTTGTCACAGGCTGGGTGTGAGCAGCCACCCCCCTGCCAGCCCCTCTCTGCCAGGGGCACTGATTTGGGTGGGTTTGGCCTTTGCTTTGCTCTTTCAACCCCCTCCAGCAACAGCCAGGTTCTTTACTTGAGACTCTGCACGGGGCTCAGAGCAAGCTGAAGCATTTTGCAGCTCTCCACTCTGGCAAGCTTGTCAAAATTCCTCAAGGAGTGTGCCAGTAAACAGACAAAAATATTGAAAGCTTTAAAATACATTTATCATGCTAAAACAATTGACAGTACTTACACTTGTTTGCAGTGTGCCTGTGAGCACTCTCAAGAAAAATGCTTTGGAGCACGAGGATTTGCAGACAATTCAGAAAAGCAGCTGCATGGTACATGTCAGCCTTTCACTGGGCTTTTCCTCCTCCTGACTGTCCTAACTCTGAGAAACAAGGACAGGGCACTGTGGCCCTGCACTGCTGCCCATTCCCCCTCCTGTCACATCCAGTGGCTTTTTATCCCAAACTCCAGATGGAAAGGAGGCGAACTGGGTGCTCTCCAGGCTGGAAATGTCAATATTAAGCTGAGATTTCTCTGCAGCTGCCTCCATGTGGGAGGGGAGGAACCTCTTTGGGGATGTTTTCGAGTGTGTTTGCGTGCATGGGAAGCAATCAAGTTCCTGAGGGGTGATACATTTTGCTGTTTTGCTGTTGTGGATGTGCTGCTGCTCACTTGGAGCCTCCAGTTTGGCAGCCTCAGCCTGGGGGGAGCTGCTCTGGATCAAATATTCCCTCTAATCCAAGTAGAAATAAAAATGAACTCTGCTCCTGCAGAGTGTCCTGCTTCTCCTGGCAGCCAGGAGAGAGCATCCCTCCCCACTTTCCTGCCCAGGTAGGAAAACTTGGATCTCCAGCCCCATTCATCTCTCCAGAGATCCGACTTTGCCACTTCCCAGGTGTTTTCCAGCATTCCCCTTCTCCTGGACTTCGATCTGGAGACCTGGTCTCACCCTCCTGCTGGTGCTTGGTGTTTCTCCAGCTCCTGTTTCTCTCACCAAGCCTCTCCCACGTTTCTGGACAGAGTTTATTTGCACAGGACTCCTGTGATTGCTGTCATTTACAATCACTGCAGCTCGAGAGCCCTTTCCTTAAACCCACAAGCTGTGCTCCTTTCATCAGCATTAATTATTCATCAGTGATGCTTGTGATAACTGCCACGCTGAGCAGCCCAGCCCGTGCCCTCCAGTGGGGTGAACGTGGTTTAGACTTTCAGGTGTGGGATGGTTTCCCTGGAAATGGTGCCCTGGGAGTGGGCACAGTGCCCCGCAGAGGGAGTGGGGGTGGTCTCTGCTGGAACAAACCCCACAGCACGAGGTTCCAGGGGCTCCAGCTGCTCCTAAAGGCTGCACAGCTGGGGGGGTTCAGGGCTGCCTGCAGGATTTCCCAAGGAAAAGCTGCAGAATGCCAGGCACTGACCAAACCAGGCCCCAGAGAGCTGATTTAGGGAATGTTTATGGAAAATGGCACAGCTGAGGGTGAGACTGGAGCTCTGCAGGTACAAATTCTGCTCCCAGTGCCGGTGCAGTTATTTTAACCCTTCCCAAGCACCTCAGCACTGCTGCCTTGGGTGCTGTAAGGATTAAATTCAGTGATGTTTGCTGGAGAGGGCAGCAGCTCTGTGTGTCACAGCCCTGAAATGCACCTGTCACCATGAGCTCCAGAGCACTGGATTATTATTCTGCCCGCTCCCCAGCTCTGTCAGAGCCACTTATTTTTCTGACAAAATGTTTTTAAAATCCTGATAGCTTTACAGAGCTTCTGTAGCTACGGGAGAGTGAGCTGGCATCTCGTTCTGCTCGTGCATCAGCTGAATTGTCAGTTACATTTTGATTGCACACTCTTTTAACAATGATAAGGTGAGAAGCCTGATTTTCAGATATCTCTTGAAGTGTGCAGTGCTGGCAGCAGAAGAATCTTTCTTTGACTTATATACCCTGAGCCAATTTGCTCTGAAATCAGTGACAGCAAGTAAATATGGAACCCTGCTGTGCTGTTAGGCGTTTCTCACCACCTAAATGCATGTTGGTTTATTAATTTTAGTTTAAAAATAGCAAGCCTTAACCAGGTTTCTCCCCTTTTTTTTCCCCTCTTTCCCCACTCGATATCATGACTGAAATCATGAATTGCCTGGTTGCAGCCATTGCTCCTCTCAGCATATGCTGAATTTCTGCTGCGAGGCTGTGTCGCTTCAGCTGGTGGCACTCCAAGTGACAAGTGCCACAGCCAGGACACTGCCAGGCCAGCAGGAGCGGGTGGCACAGCCCTGCCAGCAGACTGAAAGGACAGCAGTGTTTGCACCTCATCCTGCAGCAGGGCTGCACGTTTGACTGCCTGCTGACAGGGCCCAGGGTGGAGAAATTCCTGGAAAATCCGTGGCTGTGTTTGTGTGCTGGGCTCAGACTTTGGCCTGAGCTGTTTGCTTTGAGGACAGGAGGTCACTGGCCTCAGCTGCCTGGAAATGGGGCTGGTTTGGCTCTAGGGATGAAAAAGGATGATGAAATGGCTGGGGAAGGAAAGCAGCAACCACAGGAATATATCCAGTGAGGCCTCTGGAAAGGACACAACTGATTGTCCTGAGCTCCAGAACCTTCAGGTTGTTTTGCCTGGAAAATCCCACCAGACTTCATCGCTGCCCTGTGGCGCTGTGACCTGCCAGGCTCAGATCTGGATGGGGATTCCAGGAATCCCACTGGAAATTCCAGGAATCCCCAGTGGATTTAACACCCCTGTGACAGCAGCTGCTCTGGGGCTGCCAGCTCAGGTGCTGGACCCCAAAATCTCCACATGCCAGGGTGAGTGCACCCATCTGAGCCAAACATTTCCCAAAGAGCTGCTTCCTGCATCCAGGATTTAGCAGGCAGCAAACACACCCAGCTCAGTTAGAACCAACAGGAGTTGGTCTGTGAATATATAACAGAGGAGAGATAATTGAATGAAAATATTAATTCAGCAAAATCCCAGCTACCAGAAGAGAAATGGGAACCTCCAATTGTGCGATCACTTACTGCACCTTTTCTCTTCTGTCTCTGGGTCTCTTTCCCTGTGATCACAAAATTGCAAAACCCTGGAGAGTCCTTTTATGTGATTAAAATAATAATAATAATAATGGTTCTCTTAATTTCTATGCTGAATTATGACTGCTGCCTATTGCACATGACATTGCATGCTTGGCTCCATGGGCTCTTTAAAGAGAAAAATACCTTGTAATGAAGATGTTGCTGGAACTCTGTTGCTCCCTGGCATCATCATCTTTTTTTGTCTTTTTCATGTATAATGTTCCCCAGATGAATAATTTTCAGAAGGGCATTTTGAGTTGACTTTGGCTTTTGATGTCAGTGAAATCTGCAGCAACAAACTTATTTCCTGGCAGCAGGAAGCAGGGAATCAGGATCTCCTCCAACTCCCAAACTCACTGGAGTCTGGCTGCGTGTTGGAGCTGACACTAATCCCTGGTGTGGGTTATTTTTCCCTGTTTTGAGATCTCTCCCAAGCTAATTAATCCTTCAGGAGATCTGTCCCCACTCCAGTCTCACCTTGGGTCCTGCTGGCAGCGGTGGCTCAAACATCAGGGCTTTGCTGGATCCTAAACCCTCCCTAAGCAGGGGTTTAAGCTGATTACAGTGGCTCAGCTGACTTCTCAGCTTGAAAAATTCATTTACAAAGTTTA